GAATTAACTTTATTTCTTATCAGCATCAACAATGTAAAAGCAAAGGGCTTGCTCTACTTTCTACTGGGATACTTTTCTTCCACGTACTGTAGGAATATATGATGGACATATGCGAAACATTATACTTCTTCCATATCAGGATTAACAATGTAAAAGCAAAGTGATTGATCTACTTTCTATATATTTGGAAAACATCTTAAGGCATGTTGGAATATGTATGATATATGGATATGGGCAAAACACATCAGCATCATTAATGTAACAAGGCACTGTATCTAGATTTCCACGATTTCTTCGGAAAACTCCTCCTCTAAATCTTCAGATGAAAACTGTTCAGAACTAACGGATGGTGGGTTGGAACCCTCACGACAACCATAACGCTCAACTTCTTTCTGACTCCAAGCTTTGCAGGCCCTGAACACTTGCGTTTCATTTTTTTCTTCCCTGAAAAAATCAAGTCACCTGCTTGTGTCTTTGTTAGTGTTAGCTTGATCATGAGGAAAAGCATGGCGGTTTTTCCTAGGTTGAATCCTAGGATATTCGCGACGACTGCCCCGACTCGTGCAATTACACCACCTTGGGCATGCTGCCTTAATATGGCCTTTCCAGCTTGACAGTATACGCTGCAGCGCGTGGGAACTTGGTAGCTCGCATCAACCCTGTCCTTTCCCTGTCCTGTCCTGTCCTACTGTCAAGCTGGAAAGGCTCCAAAAAAGCACGACCACGGTGGTGTAATTGCACTAGTTGGGGCAGTCGTCGACGAATATCCTTTAAGCGGCTGCACTTCGCGATCCTGGGGCGTTGTGCACCGTACGGGTAAGAACCGCATCTGTACACTTTGATCCTGCGGCTTTGTTCGACAACAGACCTTATTTGTCAGACTTCCACTAGACTTAAAAAGACGTTTAGCAGAGTAAAGATAAAATTGGATGGAGCTAAAATCTAAAAATGAGAAACATTGCAACTTGGTGTAAGCACCCAACGAGCTGTTCGGATTGATAGCGCTAAATGTGCGATCTTTTAGAGCAATAAGTTGGCCACATATGTACTTAAATTCCACAAATGCTACGATACATTGCCTGTTCATCGGAGACTTTCGTCTTGTGTGGTATAAGCTAGTCGTGAACGAAGGCATGTGGTTTCCTCCGCGAAGCGAGCACGAATGCCCCCATAACCCCGGGCATACTGCAGACGTTTTAGTGGCGACGTGGTATGGCAATACTCAAATTGTCCAAAACCTATTTTGAAAGTACAGAATGCGGGGCATTTATCTTTTTAGTATGTTGTACACGCTAAACATTGTGGTAAGCTGCCATTACATCTGAAGACATCTCGTACTGGCAAGTCGCGTACGGCGATCTAAACCGTCTAATCCTGCACTACAACTGCGATGTTTTACGCAGTATACAGCAATTCGCAAGAAACTCCAAGGTAACGAATAGGCAGTTTTGCAATAATTTATGCGAGCAGGAGTGCTCACTAGTGTGGGCTTTGCGTGCCGCAAGCATGAGCAATGCAAAGAAAGAAGAACAGCCATTTCAATTCAGTTCTTTGCTGATTTGTGCCAATAGCAATGCGAAAAATCTCATTGATAGAAAAAACATCAATTAAAATCCACATATGATTTTTTTTACTGTCGCAAGCAGTCAGAAGAATGCTCCCCATACAGTTCAAAGGTATGCCGGTTGCAAAAGATGCATTACCGAGTTTTGCGAAAAAAAAACGCTGACGAAGTGAGCTTGATACTCAGCAGTTGGCTCTGCAACAAAGTCGAATAATCTGAATACGGAGTACACTCGAATACTAATTCGAATAAACATTCGAATAAAACATTCAAATAAAATCTATTCGAAACCCCGTTTTTTGATTATTCGAGTTTTCGAATGATATTCGAAACCTCGTTTTTTGATTATTCGAGTTTTTGAATAATATTCGAAACCTCGTTTTTTGATTATTCGAGTTTTCGAATTTTATTCGAAACCCCGTTTTCTCAATTATTCGAGTTTCGCATATTACTCGAAAATGGAAGAACTCCGAATATCGAATTTCGAATACGAATATATTCGAATGTTTTATTCGAATGATCGAATTTCTATTCGATTCGGGCCCAAGTATAATTTGTAGTATGGCGCGAACCACCGGTCGGTGTTGTTTATTATAGAATTACGGTTTGAACTTCTAGCATGTGGATGTATTGTGAAATATGCCATTTGGCAAAATTCTTCAAAAAAACCTGAAAAATTGTGTACTAGGGTTTTCGCGCACGCTGATTCCATTACACAACTTTTTATAAGTGTTTTTAGCTTTTTTGACGATACAGTCACTTTTCTGACAAATGCTGGAAATTACCACGACTTACCTGGGATAACCTTGGAAAGAAGCATCACAGTAAAGTGGAAATTTCATGGTCGAAATCAGCGGCTTCCATTACTATAGTATAAGAGTTTTTAACTTGTTTGGTTTTGTTCAGAGGCATAAAATGGCCTCCAATGGCCTAAAATCCTTGTCGAAGTTCCTACCGTAATCCTACAGTAATGAAGAGCGATCGATGATTCGCTCCATACTGTAGATCTAAGTTGAGCCTCGCTCTATAGAATGATGCCTCAAGCTCGGCGAAAGACATGAAAACAAGGGAGTTATTAACAATCAAACAGTGTTCACATTTATTGGGACACCCTGTACATAGATAATATCCAGCACATATGTGGGTCAGACAAACTGATCTCCAAAAAAAAATTTACCAAACTCAGGCAATATTTTGAAGTAGTTTTATTAAATTTGCGAAATTGAATCAAAAATTTGACAAGCGCGTTTACTTATTTTCCTCGCTAGCTGCAAATTATCAATATCAATACAACATCTAATCAAGAGAACAGGACCTGGTTTTCGAGATGGACTGTAAGGAGACTAAAAGGGCAGCTAATCCTTCAATTCGCGTTAGAGGTCACTCACATTCCGCCGTCTCACCTGCCACGCAGTAAATCTCAGCTTACCGAGGTAGTGTCAATTGATCTTCGCGGAGCCTTAGTTATCATAATGTAGGGCTGGGTATACAATTAAAAGCAGTAATCTTTTTGATCACGAGAGATATAGTGGCAGAGGCTTAAAAAATTTGTCTACACCATCCGTATAAACCTGTACAAAATCATACACCAATAAGAAGGCTGGAAAGCCATCTACAAAAGCTTTGAGGTTTCGAATTTTTCTAGAACGGAAGCTGATTTGCAATGGTGACATTGTGCTAGCGATACTGAGCCAGAAGTTCCTGACCTAATCCTAGGCAAGAGCAATATATAGTTCTCACTATATATCTATGTTCAAGCCAAGACTACAACAGGCTACTCAAGGATCAACGAAAACCTTCAGAGAATTATCAACACTCGAACTACCTCATTCTCTTCTTTTAGGACATCATATATCATAGATCAGCACTTACATAGATTCCTAGTTGAAACTATTAGGTTGTTGCAAAAATAATGTCCGTTTTGCAAAATTTCACTTTGATAGGCTATAACTTTGTTCAGTTTTCATATTTTTGAATGAAATCAAAACCATATGAAGCAGCAAACTTTTCTTAACTTAACGCGCACCTGCATATACTGATATCACAAACCGGAAGAAAACCGTGCGTCAAAAAACCGAAAGTTTTTCTTTTGAAAAGCTCGTCTTTGTGAGGCTACAACTCCCTTCGAGTTTTGTTCCTTCGGCTGCTAATTAGCTCATTTTATAAACCCGAGCCAGTAGTATACTTGTACAAGAGAATTTAATGAAGGAGTCATGCGAATAAAAAAGATAGAAATTCAAATTTCTTCACTTTTTCAAGCCTATTTGTGGAAGGCCAGAAAGCCCCAAAGTATGGAAATTTGAAATTCTTTATACACTGAGTAGCTAAGCTTTTCTGCTAAAATTGTGGGAAAGATGTCCTGGCCTCAGGCATACAGAAATGAGCGAAGCTTCGGCGATTGCTCTACTTATGAGAAACTTTGGACCCATAGAATGCCAGCAGCGAGTATCTATTTTGGGGCGTCGATTTCTCGGTTCAGATACTTTGAAAAATCTATTTAAATATGCTATAGGTAAACAATGTTCAACCAATACAGTAGCTATGTTTTCAAAAGAACCCGTTCATATGCGTCTGACTTGTGACCAAGGGAGTTAAAGCAAAGAATTTTCGATTTTGAGTGCAGCTGTTTGAGATGCTGATGAAATCCTCACGGATGAGATAGAAGCTTAATTTCACAACTGTTAGAAAGTACATTAAGAAAGCTTTCCAATGATATGCAGAATCCATATCGAAAAAGAAACTCTGAAGAAAAAAGTTGTTCGGAAAATAGGCCTAGAAAAACGGACATTATTTTTGCAACAACCTAATAAAAGAGCACCGAACGCGTTCTCATTCTTTGAAAATGGCTCCAGTTTTTTTATTGCTTCTCTTCTTCCTAAACAGGGCTCGGCTGGCACCAAAGGACTTTCGAAACGGAGTCCCCTTTAATTTTGAAGATTTTGTACGAAGTCCCCTTTGACTTTAAACTCTAAAGGAAAAACCTAAAAAAACGAAACGTCCACTAAAAAAACGTCGCAATTTTTGTGTCATAACGGCCACAAAAACCATATACCCTTTGCTTTTTTCCCAAAACAATATCCAGCTTGGCCCGTGTCAGCTGGTCCCAGGCCCTTCTTAAACTTTCTTGGAATTTCCCTAACAGGGGAGGGGGAACGAAGGCCGTCAGTTTGAACCGCCGTTCGCGGTCAACTGGTCCTTTCGAAATGTTGATGGATGTCGTCTGACCAGTAGTCCGTGGAGGCGGCCCAAACCGGAGGGCTTCGTTCCCCTACCCTATCAACAGTGCCGCAGAGTTGCGTTCAACAGGGTTACTCATCTAAATCACCATAAACTTGCTCGTACCCTTTACAGGTGCCTCGGCACGCACCAGCTTCTCCTTAGGAGGAGTTTCTTCAAAAAGTCTGTCTTGCGCTGTTAGAAACAATTCTTGGACAAGTTTCGAAGAAAGTTTATTATCATATTATAGTGGACCGTGGATCTCTATTATAATGCGTAGTGTCTAGATTGAAACAGTGACATTTTCGGGCTCTGGAGCAATCTCTTCGCTTTCGTTTGTCGCAGCTTGGTTATCATCAAAGTCTGCTATTATTTCTCCTGTGGTTTAAATACAGCTCAGTTATCGTCATTGCAGAAAGAAAACCTTATACCTGAATGATGTGGGCCATGCTCAAACCTTCCGTGATGGTGCCCCTGCAACTTTTTTATTTCAAAATGAGAGAGGGCTGTTTTCAACTTACCCATTCATCATCAGTGTAGTCAACGTTGCCAGATTGCACTGTGAACACAATAAAGAAGATCAAAAGTAGCCGAATTGTGAATCTCATTGTTAAATAGGTAATGGGGAGAGTTTTGCCTTTTATAGCATCCTCTTACTGATGTCATTGTTCAAAGTCATTCCTTACTCATATCATTTTTTGAAAGTAATGAAGTGATGAGTAGTTCCTAATCATTAACACGAAAACAAAAACTTCTGCGTTTCTGCGCAAATAAAGAAGTATGACAGCCACTTTTGTGAATATTATCAAACATCACCGTTTTTCAGCGCTGTATCAGCAGGACACCGGAAATGAATTGTCTCCGAATGAATGTGTTCATGATTATATTTTGCGATTTTTGATAGCAAAAGAAATGCATGCATGCTGCTGCCCGGCGCCTTTGAGCAGAAGCCGCCGAGCCACAGAAGTCTTTTCTTGAACTTTTAGCAACGATTCCAACGGTTGGAATTACACGAAAACCGGTTTCAATGGCGAAAAGTCAAATGATAAAACGTCAAATCCGCTGTGAAAGATGATTTTGGAAAAGTCAGCTATGATTCAGTGCGAGCATGGGCCGTCCCTTCCTCAGCAAAGAATTTTTCTAGCGTAACAAACTATAGAAATGTGTACTACGAACTATACATACCCAGTCTAAAAAGGACAAGGAAACAAAAGAAAATTACTGGAAATGAGCTATTCAATGTCGAGGCTCGTCAAGTTGCGCTCATGTGGGCAATAAATATCAAGTTACGAATGACTTGAACGATATCTATCATCGCGTCAAACATAATTCAGTTTAGGGCTTCATAATTTACCTCAAGTTCCACTTCCCTCCAGAAACTAATTATGTTTTTCCTAAGGAAACGTGTAGAATTTGCTAGCGAATTGGTTACATAAAGGGTGTAGAGAAAAAAATTTCAAGTTACACTGTCAATAGATGAGGTTTGAAACCAATATTCAGATTGCTAATTAAACCCACAAATATGTAATACAAATACATGCATAAGGTGAAAGTACAATACCGCTCATATTAGTCAAAAAGTCGCTGGACTGCGGCGCACTGCGGCAGAGTGCGTCCACACTCCACTAGAGTCTGCCGGAGAGCAGCGGAGTGCGCCGCAGTCCGGCGACTTTTTGACGAATTATGAGCGGTATTCTATCTACTTCAGATGCTGCTCTGCATCGAACTCTAAATAATAGATTCACTACTGGACAGATCCAAATCGCAGATTTAGGGCCGCATGCGCTAACATCGCTGCGGGGAAGGAATCGCAGGTCAAAAGAAAACTTCATATTTCGAAACTCCAGACACCTGAATTTAACGTTGTGTACCTATCCGTAAGTACTCCTACTACCCTTCACTATGAACACATTGAACAGGAGCGAGAAGCTGCACAAGCCGCATTTCCCAGCTTTTGTATGATCCCTGGTGATCCCTGGCGCTTTTCTTCAAAGTCATTTTTCTTTCTTTGAAGTTGACGAAAATATTCCAAAGTTGTACTGATTATCTAACACAACGTGCTAAGCATATTACTGATGAGAAAAATGAGTTTTTGAAAATTCCGATTTTTCGGTGAACTCCAATTTTTGACCTGTGGTTCATCGCAAATTTCATGACTGAGGTACATCACTTGCTCTTATCAGCAACATGCTAAGCAGTGTTGGGTTAGATATTATGCACAACTTTGAAACCTTTTTGTTAACTTGGAGAAAGAAAAATGACTTCAAAGAAAAGCGGCAGGGATCATCAGAGATCACACAAAAGCTGGAAAAGGCGGGTGCAGCTTCTCGCTCCTGTTCAATGTGCTGACAGTGAAGGGTAGTAAGAATACTTATAGATGGGTACACAATGTGAAATCCAGATATCTGGAGCTTCAGACTATGAAGCTTTCTTTTGAGCTCGATCCCCTCCCCGCGGGGATGTTAGTGCATGCGGCCCTTAGAGTGCTGAGGGTAGACTCTATAAAACAAACTGCTTGCTTACCGGGCAATCACATCATTAGATTAGAATGTTTTCAATCTTACTGAAATACTGAAAGTTAGTGGTTGGTAGACTGAGTTTGAGATTCGCGGCGGACAAAGCACAGAACTTCAAAGCTAAATTAAGCTGCATCTCCACAAACTGTTCAGATTTTGAACCAATTAGCAAGTCAGAAACGCTGCAGATTTGTTCGACATGAGATGCTCAAGAATATATCGCATTTGCTCCTCATCTGTGCGCGTTCAGCGCCTATAACAGGGCTGTAAAAATTTCACTTCATCATAACCACCTATCTCAAAACACACTCTGTCAACTGCAAAAACTATCGATTTTTGCAGCAATCGCTATTTGTATTGCCGAAACTTCATCTACACCCTTTCCTTGCATAAGTGCATGAATACAATGTGCACTTTGACTTTGCACAAGTCTCACTTCATAAACAGATTAATTGCTGAACATGAACTCTATTAACTGAAAGTGCCAAAGTACAATTACACATATAGACTAGAAGCCGAGTGTTTTTGCATTTGGAAATTGCTTTGATCAACTGAATCCTTTTCAACATTGAGAGAAGAATTCCATGAAAGCATTTCTGGTAATTACTCTAGTATAAAAGATGTTTCTCGAGCATTATAAGGAAAAATGCTTCAGCGGAGCGGTGTTTTGGTAAGTTGCAAGTTGGTTTCCACTTCTTGATAAATATACCTCCATCATAGCTGCTGTCGTATATTGCTCTTTCCTGCGCGGAAATTTGTCCACAGATGATCAAGTGCGACACTACCTTCGACCATGTATGGAGGGATGCACTTATGAGGGCGCTGAGGGCAATCTTGGTTGGTTCAATTTTGGAAGATAAGAGGCTAGAGAGAAACAAATAGCAGCTGCGCTAATAGGGAAGGATACCAACATTAGTCGGCAACTGAGGGTGATATTTATATCATTAAACGCGCCTTTAAACGCTGATTCCAAATCTGCTTTTCTTTTTTGCGGAGTGGTTTTCCGAAAGAAGTTATGAGCGTTTGAATGTCCAAATTTGCCAGGCATTGCGTGGCTTAAAATCAACGAAAAGCTCTAAAACAATACTTATGCAATTTCCACCCACTTTGTTCCTTTTTTGCAAACAAATTCTCGATACAGAAGTAATTTCCACTTTTCCACTTTCCGGTGTTTTTGTACAGCTTTTCGCCAATTTTAGGCCACATATACCTTGACAAATTTCGACACTCAAACGCTCTCATAACTTCTTTCGGAAATTGTTCCGAACAAGGGAAAGCAGATGTCTAATCAGCGTTCAAAGGCGCGTCTACTGATATATATCCAATCTTCAATCGCCGACTAATATTAGTATCCTTCCCTTGTAAGAGAACGACAAATATGGGGCAGACGTCCAACGTCAAAATTCCTGCCATTGAACATACGATAACGCCTGCAACTTGTGAAAAAATCACCACACTACCGCCGAATTGCGCCAGACTTCGCGTTGCATCGCCATTTTTTGCTTTAGAATGGGCGAATTCTAAATTCAAAAGCACCATCCCACTCATCTCGACGAGATACATCCTTTGATATACAGAAGTGTCTGTCTGGGCTCGGTAATCGGTAAGATCTCACGGATCTTTCCAAGTTTTTGCTTACGGTAGACTTCTATGCAATGGTAAGCACCTTAGCATTAGAAAGATCCGTAGTATTTGATCGAAAAATGTACCCTAAATCTATGTATCAGATCAGAAAAATGCTCGTCAAGATGAGTTGAATGACTAAGACTAAACTCTGATCTTAGCCAAAAGGCCGCTGACGCTTTAAACTTAGAATTCGTCCACTTCAAAGCAAGATATGGCTATGCAACGCAAAGTCCGACGAACGCCAGCGGAGCGTGGTGATTTTTTTTCCACAAATTCCGAGCGGTTTATACGTAGAGGGCCCGGATTTGAACTGGTAACGCATTATGAGTAGTTCAAATGCAATTTTCAGATCAAAGTACGAAGATTATGTTATGATTGCGACGTGGAAAGAGATGCGATATCTTTAGCTGGAGATCGGGAATTCCCTTACAACAAGGACTACGAACAGATTTCGGGCATAGTTGGATCTAGCGGAAGGTGAGAATCTTTTCTATCTACAGTTTTCACTGCTATCGTGCCACTTACTTCTAGTGCAACTCTATCACCGATATTCGCCGCAGAACAGCTCGTTACAATGAGAGATAACTTGAGGAGACTTTTGCAGGTGGGATTTCTGCAATATCAGGTCTTCCGAAAGTATTTCTTTTTGAACAAGCTCCACATTCCGCGAAATAAATGTCCATAGAACCTTGGCAGCATTCGGTGCAGTTTTTCGTGCTGTTTAAAGAGCATCCTTATCTTGCAGTTTGACAAATGAGCTCTCAGTAAATTACCAAAAGTCATGACCCGAGGTCTTTACCACGGTTAAAGGCAGCGTCCCACCAAACTGGGGGTACCTGGCTTTGGTATTAATATATTAGTAGATCCCTTAACTAAGCGACGACAGAAGTTTGCAGCGCAAAAGGGGGGGGGGGAGGCGGCGTCCGGGCCTATTTAAGATTCGGGCCACTTTCGGAGCAAATTTCAGGCTTGGTAGACTCCTCTTTCGCTCCGAACTTCAGTCATCGTTTAGGTAGAGGATCTACTTTAACATCGCCACAAAAACCCGGCACCCATCTTTTTGACTGGACGGTGCTTTTAAGCCCCGCTATTTTTAATTTATCTAATTCCCCGAAAAAGTCAAAGCGACGGATCAACACAGTCCTCCAGAATACTAAACAATTTCTTCCCCTTCAATAGCTTACCTTCCAATTCCCAAACATATTTTTCAATGCTATCAGAGTTCATGTAAGGTTAGCACAAACCTCATAGAACGTTACAGGCGAGTAACTCCGATGTTACTTAATGCAGCATTATCTCTTCTTTCAAAAAAAATTTTTTTTGTCTCTTTCGTTAAGTCCTGGGGATGAAATCAGCGCGACGTTCATAGTTTAAAAGGGGAAAACTCAAAATTTTACATTTCGAATCCCTGGACGCTCGTTTGTTTGGTAGACAGTAGAATCAATCGCGAACTTGTGGTTTGACGA